GTCCTACTCAAGCCTCTGCAGACAGCCTGGGTTACAGACAGCGCATTATTAGGCAGGCATTCTAGCCTGCCACATTTGCAATTTCTGTGTTGAAAAAAAGCTGGTTGTTAGTCTCAGGTTAAAAAGATCTTGCACAGTCTCTCATACCTTACTTACCAAACAGGGAGAGGAATTATAGTTTTCCGATACCTCAAGTTAACCTGAATAGAGCCCTGATGAGTAGCCAGGAGTACAAGGAAGATACAGTCATGAACCAAAGCACCTACCAGGTCCCTTCCTATTTCCCAGCATAACCAACTTCAAATACATGGTTGGAAGGAAAACTACATTTAAATCAACCACCTGACATCCCCTAACATCACCTAACCTTTAAGCACCAAGATTAAACTTTCCATAAAATAGTTCCACAATGAAGTTCAGTGTGATAGCTTTGCATTTTAAGAGACTATATTTGTAACAGTAATTATGTCTCTCCATAAACACACACACACCATCATGGAGGTAACCTGCCAAGCAATAGCTTAAAAATTCAGAATTTGACAAGAAAACAAAATATGCAAATGTGGTAGTAAAAGCTGCAAAAGATAACAGAAAAGTACTTAGTTATCTGCCATTTCTAAGCTACAGTCACCCCTCAACAAATTTGTGTATCATAATAGTATATTTCATAAAATTTGTAGTTATTTTCTTCCGTTTCTTCTTTTAGGGTTTTTCCTCTCCCTCAAATGAACAGCTAGACACCATCCCATTTACACGGGAAATGTATATCCATCTTAATCTCACTGCTTCTTTTATCTTTATCTGTTTTCCAACTACAGAGAGTTATCTGGAACACAGCTGTCTACCTGGAAGCTATTTCTCTTATAGCTAACATAGCTACAAAATTTAATAACTAAGAAGCTGCTGAAAGATAGAGACTTTGCTCTTGCCTGTCTCATAAGTAAGGTATACAGGATGAATTGACAAATGCTGCCTTTAAGCAGGAAATCCATCTGTGCTGTCAATCTCAAGATAAGCAACTATCCATGTGTGAGATGTTGTCAACACAGGTTGAATAAAACCAAATGTACATTAAGATAATAAGGGTAACTTTAGAAATCATTAACTGCAGCATGCAGCTTGAAACCCTGCATTAGCCTCAGACAAGAAGTAGTAAGTTAATTCAGGTGTCTGAGAAGATCCTTTCTGGGTTGAGGTACATTTGTGTACACAGATGAATACATTTCAGGAAGAATTTTGTTTGTTAAGATGCAGATCTCTTCTTTGTAAAGTGAGAAATTCTTACTTGGTGAGTAAGGGTAGAAAGACTTTGATACACCAATACCTTAAAAGCATAAGTAAAATAAAGTTTGGAATTGGCATGTTGATGCTTTAACATAAAAACTGTTTCCGGGTCTAAAGACAACTTTCAAACAATGGTAGAACATGAAATATCATAAATAAAACTTGGTGCTATCCAGTAACAAGAGGAGGGAATCATATCGCTGCAGATTTCATTAAATGACATTTCAGGTAGCTTCTCACTCAAAATACAGAGATTTCAGGACATGTTAGAAAGGACAATCTGACATATACCATTGATATATTTGACAATTACCACTTGTGTCTTTTTTCCCACAGCCTACCTTAAAGCCGTAGATGAAGCAATTCTTAGTAAGCTGTCAATTACGAGAGAAAAGAGGAAGGCAGCCAGCCACATCACCAGGTTGCATCTAACAGAAATGACTTGAAGGCCAAGCAACACCTTAGTGCGCTGTGTCGGTTTTGGTTATGATAGAGTCAATTTTCTTCACAGTAGCTGTGTTTCAGATTTGTGCTGGAAACAGTGTTGATTTCATTATTGGTGAGCAGGGCTTGCACAGCATCAAGGCCTTTTCTGCTCCTCACCCCACACCACCAGAGAGGAAGGGCAGGGAGCGCACAAGGAGTTGAAAAGGGACACAGCTGGGATAGCTAATCCCAACCGACAAAGGGATATTCCATGCCACATGGCATCATGCTCAGCATATAAAGCTGGTGGGAAGAGGAAGGGGGGGACATTTGGAGTGATGGCACTTGTCTTCCCAAGTCTCTGTTACGCATGATGGGGCCCTGCTTTCCTGGGGATGGCTGAAGACCTGCCTGCTCACAGGAAATGGTGAATAAATTCCTTGTTTTGCTTTGCTTGCATGCACAGCCTTTGCTTTCCTTATTAAACTTTATCTCAACCCATGAGTTTTTTGTACCATGAGTACAAAAAGAAGCAAATGTAAAGCAATCCTTCAATTTCTCAGAAACAGAAATGTACTGCCTTATAGGTAAACTGTAGAGTCGATAGCAGCATGGAGATCTACTGCAACTACTATGCTAAGCACATAAGACCAATGTGTAGCACATAGAAAAATAAAGGAATACTCCTCTGAAATGTGCCTTACAACAAGGCACATTAAGGTTCCCTCGTAGAAAAAACTTTGAGCTGCTCATTCTGTGACACTAATATCTAGTCATACCAATCAAAAGATGTGGTGCTATGGGCCCCAACATCCAGATGTTTCGTTAGACAAACCAGAAAGGAGAATTTTCTGTGTCTTTACACTCTTTTCCAGACAACATGTAATAAACCTGCTTCTTGATATGCTAAATCCACATTTTCAGCTCGCCAATAACCTCCTCTGATATTCGTGTGTGGTCCAGCCCACAAGAGAAATGTAAGTATGAATGCAGATGGCTTTTCCACTATCTAGACCAGGTTTAGTGTGGACTTCCACTGTGGAAACTGGATTGTATGCAAATTCAATGCAACCTCAGAATCCACTTTTTTCTCCTCATAACTCCCTCACTTCAGCAGCCTGTGGAGGAACAGGGGGTTAGATAAGTCTCTGAACCACAAAATGTCTTCGGTTAGTTTCCCTTTTCTTACAGAGGTAAGAATATTTGGTCCTTTGGTTCCCTTTGAAAAGGAACAGATCAGAGGCTACCTAGCACAACCAGTAAGTCACCTCAAGGAGTGGATACAACCAACCCATTCTCTTTAGGAAAGCCTCCCTGCCTTTGTTACAGAGGTGTCAAACAAAAAAGAAATAAGAGAGCATTGACTATATAATCTACAAAAAAGATCACAGATCAGAAAAGAGCTTTTGTTTTAATTCTAAGGAAATGGGGGGGCATCAGGCACAGCATTGCAAACCGCTCAAAAAGAGGTGATTGTCAAGCTCTACTCTCTGTGCTGATGCATCCTCACCTTAAATATTGTGTGCAGTTTTGGGTGTCACAATATAAAAAAGACATTACACTATGAAAGAGTATCTAAAGCAGGGCAACAAAGATGGTGAAGGGCCTTGAGAGGAAGCCGTATGAGGAGCTGCTGAGGTCACTTGGTCTGTTCAACCTGGAAAACAGGAGAATAAGGGGAGACCTCACTGCAGTCTACAACTTCCTCATGAGGGGAAGTGGAGGGGCAGGCACTGATCTCTTCTCTGTGGTGACCAGTGACAGGACTCAAGGAAACAGCAGGAAGCTGAGTCAGGGTAGGTTTAGGTTGGATATCAGGAAAAAGTTTTTCTCCCTGAGGGTGTTTGGGCACTGGAACAGGCTCCTCAGGGAAGTGGTCACAGCACCAAGCCTGACAGAGTTCAAGAAGTGTTCAGCCAATGCTTTCAAGCACATGCTGTGATTCATGGGGTGTCCTGTGCAGGGCCAGGAGTTGGACTCAATGATACTGATGGGTCCCTTCCAACTCAGCATATTCTATGAGTCTATGAAATGCTCTTGTACGTCAGTAACAGCTGATTTTTGAGAAAAGTGGAACTATAGTATTTTTTGGAGACACTACCTCACTGGTACTGTTCCCATTTCTCATACAGGCATTCCACTACCACCTATTGAGGGAAACAAACAGGGTGGAATGCAAAAATGTCTCACGAAAGTAACTGTGCATATAAAGGATACTAACATTATGGTACTGACAACCTTCTATCCCCAGCCTTAAATTTAATTCACAGTTTAACGTACAGGTAAAATGGACAGAAGATGGCACCCCTAATATAGGGCCCACCTTGGCCCTCCTATCTTTGGCGTCAACAGCTTAAAATTCCCTGCTTGCCCACTACAGATTCTTATTCCAAAGAAAAACAGGCCAGTTGTTTTCTTCTTTTCTTTTTAGTTCAGATGTACAAGATCCATCAAGACTGTATCTCAAAAACTTCTTAAAAGAAGTAGAGAACACATTGTATTGACACATTTTCTACACTGTTAAACTTTGGTCAGTAAACTCCAGAAGTTCTGGTGCACAACACTAAGTCCTGGTTGGCCACCGAACAGTCAAATGCTACTTAGTATTATATTACAATGAAACAGACAAAAGATGTTACAGACTGTGATTAACAGACATGTCATAGAAATATATATTATGCCACAGTCCCGGTACTCTGCAAACAAATCTTCAAGCATGATCAAATTACCTAAAAGATTATAAAGAAAAATTATTTTTAGAATAAATACTGAATATTAGTCTTATAATTGTACTTGAGCAGAACTGTAAGATGCTACAGATACTTCACGTCTTTTCAGTGGTCTGTGTATGTTTGCAATGCAGAGCCAATATTCAGGGAAAATTGGGCATTATTAGTACCTTGCAGGATTACAGGCCACCCTGAAGAGTAAAAAATTATAAAATTTAACACAATGGTTTGCCTATGAAGTAACTCTCAGTATTCTAACAGAGATGAAAATATATTCTCTCCATTAGTATTCCTTTCACCTTTCACTTTGCATTTTTTTTCACTTCTTAGGATTCAAGACATTTAATTTTGAGATTGATTAAGCAAGTAATTAATTTTAAACACTGACTTCAATGGCAGCACTTAAAAATATTCAGACATCTTTAAGACTGAAGGCCCAAAGGCAATTCTTATTATAAATAAACAAATAAATAAAAGGGTAGCACTATAGCCCCAAACCTTACAGTTATGCTGTCTGTTACCTTCCAGGTAAGCTGTCAGTTATAAGATGTTATTTCTCACCTGTACTACTGCTCAGTAGTTAATCATCTTTTGAAGAGCATCATAGCATTTCCATTTGTCTGGGATGTAGAAAGGCTCAAAGATGTGAGGGAAGGGAGTGTCATAGCCACATACTCTTGAAATAGGAGCTTCTAAATTCAAAAAGCATTCTTCCTGTTAAGAGAAATACAAAATAAATGTTAGTGAGGCCATTATTTTCAGGAGTCTTGCTTCACAAATTGAGGTCAAATGAACTCTGCCAGACTGACAGTCCTGGAAACTCCAACCTTCTATTTATATCACTGAATAAGTAGTCGAGACCAGAATAGTGCTTCCTTTTGCCCAAAGGTCCATATTAAAATAACAACTTGTATTAATGTTATTTTCATTTTCTACATGTGTGCTGCATTAAATCATAGGTAGGTTATATTTAGTACATCTGCTATACATCCAGACACCTGCTGCCAAGAAACAAATATTTTAGGAACAAAGGAGTAAGAGTCTCTTTCCTATGTCACTTTTAAACATAGAATAATTACATGATCTAAGAGTGTGTATTATTTGTTGCATACATGAACATCATATTCAAACTTCTTTGAACTCTAAGATCATTAAGACTCTGTCTAAGCATTAAGAAGTTATGGAAATTATGAATTTGAACTCCAGTGGATTCACATATCACCAACCTTTGAGTCAAACACATGATCTACACAAAACCCCACAGCCTGTGTTCAACTTGGAGATCAGATTTGATAACAACTGTGAGAGTTTCATTATTTGATCCAGTAGGGTACAAAATATTAGAGATACACCATAGTAATCTGAAAGTAACCTGTAACATTATCAGCCTTAATAACCAAATCAATAGTGGAGTTTCAATCTTCTTACTCACAAGTACCAGAGTGATGGCACGGACCACAATAATGTGCAAGAAGCAGATGTATAAATAACTTTGCCAGGTCAAACTGATGTTGACGCTAATTATCAACTCCCATTCTCCTAATATCTTTAGTATATGTATTCGCTCTCTGAAGCAGACAAACCAAGAGACAAAATATGTCTCATCCTGGCCCCTACTTTATGAACTGCAGCAACTGAGACGTCCTGGCCAACTTCCCCTGTACTTGGCTCAGTAAAATGGAAGATGAAGTATTATCTACTGGTCCTTTTCCACCAGTTCACAAGGAAAACAGCTAAAGAGCTATGCTTTTCTACAGAAAAGAGTTAAGTGTTTTCTCAGACTGATGAACTGTTTTGAATGCACGTTGCCTTGCAGACCATAGCAGTCCAACTCTACTTACTGTACTTTCTACACATCACGACATTTGGCAGTATAGGAGGTATTCATAACACACTAAGATTGTAACCTTTCAGCTACCATTTTGGTACATTGTGAAGTGGATATTTCTGAAAGACAGATGGAAATAAAAAAGCCCAAGAAGTTGTGTGATTGCATACAGTGTCATTACATTTATTAGTGAACTAATTCACCTAAAAAACTTCAGAGTCTGGGTAGATCTGAGGTAAAAATAGATGCAAACACAAATATTTTTGAGCTCCATTTTCTTTGTAAAATGAAAGATTCATATTAGTACAAAATGCTGTAAAGTAGAGTGTATTAAATCCTTTACCTGTGTACGAGGTAAATCATGATGTCCTACTCTAACCTGCTGGGGTATTTTTGATACTAGGCAATCCTTGATTCCCATGTTGTAACTGACCAATAAGACAAGGCAATAGCTTTTGGACCATCCCAAAACTGACTGCCCAGACCATTGGTCAAGTTGGATTACCACAAAGTAAGAATACACCACAAGTGTATTCTAGACCCACAGTTTCCCAGTCCTGCATTGCTGTTTCCAAGTACCCGACACAGACCACTACCTAGGAGAGACTTTTGATTTACACTGTAACCAGCTCAGTCCATCCCAGATGAAGGCTGGAGAGAAAGTTCATTAGTTTCACTGAAAATATTAAGTGCAATACTCACAGTATATTACTACCATCTTTTTTAAAATACAACTAATAAAGTTAATAAACCTTATCAGTTCATGGGGGTTTGATTTATCTCTGGAACCAGTTCTAATTTATGGGACAATATATTCAATTGTGTCCTTTAAATCTAAATCAAACAAAGCTTTTTCACAATGCTACAGAATATGAAACTGCCTCCTTGATGGCATTAACTTAACAACTGTAATTTGAGCAAATTACATTCTTCATTAGATGCCATCATGCTTTGAAAAATCATAGTGTTAGCAAGATATATATTTTGATATAGAAAAAATTATATAGTCTATGGACATATTTCTAACTAATCTTCCTTTTTGCACTGAAAAAGCACTTAAAGTCAAGTGATCAGCCCACCAAACAGACAAGAGTTCACTTCATCCCAAATATGATACTTCCCCATCTGCTGCTCATACTGCTGTGCCAGATTTTTTGCATCTGTGCAGCCGCATTGTAGAGAAACGTGACAGAAAATATTATATAGAACTCCCAGCTCTTTTTAAGACTAATTAGCAGATATCCACTGTACAAGCCTACTAGAACAGGCCTATCACAGTATTTAAAAGTGATAGAATGTCAAAATTTTAAAATAAACAGATTTACTCCATATTACTTGGGCTTATAAGGGCTGGTACTGGCCCAAAGCACTCTTGCACAAGAGAGGAATGGAAACTTACAGCTTTCACTAAGTCCCTGCATATTTCAGAGAGACTGTTTAAACAATCTGACATCTTTCAAGGAAAGATCTTAGAAAAAAACTTTAAAATTAAATGGTTTTGGAAGCAAAGTAGTAGGCATGGGATTTCTGATTCAGAGTAAAATGGTTTAAGTTCAGTTTTGAAAATCACTATGAAAATCACTATATTCAGTAGATATCCATAACTTCCAAAATTCAACTGAAGTAAAAAAATACTGTTAGAAAACGAAATGCTTACAAGGCAACAGATACAGTTATTTGTCTAATAAATCTAAATTTTCTTAATAAAAACAAATCAGACAAAACATTAAATTGCTGTTCTTCTTGCTCTGCTTCCTAAGTGCAGAGGCCAAATTCTAGCCTCAGTTATTCAATATGACCTTTGCCAGTTACCTTCATTTGCCTGATTTTCACTCAAAGCTTCCTGGAAAATACAGTATTATATTCTATAAAGGTATTTTAATTGGTCACACTATTTCCTCTCAACATTTGATGTTTAATACACACTTAGGAAGACCTTTCAAAACAACTTAAGCTCACAAGTCCCACTAAAAATCTCTTCTTAAAAGTCATAGCAATCACTCAAATGTATCCCACACACCACTTCAAAACAATCTCACGCCTTGATTTTCAGAATAGATGCTAAAACCAAGGACTTGATGGATGTTGCACGTTCGTATGTGAAATGGATCCTCCAGTGCAAGGTACACTCCCTGTATTTCCCCAAATCATAATATTGTAGTATGCTAATATAGAAAGCTCTACTCAAGCCTTTTTTAGATTTATTTAAGTACATCTTTTCCTCTTATCAGAGATTCAGGTACTCATTGCTAAATCAGGGTTCCGAGTGTAAAACTCACAACTGAGAACTGCAGACATTTATAGAGATATACATTCGTACAAAAAGGCTAAAGTAAGAAAAACAAATCCACTATTGGACCTTACTGGAAGAAAACATTACTCATCCTTCTGCAATGTACAGAAAAACAAAGAAACCCAGTACACAGTCTAGATGCTTTTAGGCATCTGGCCAATAAGAAAATAGTTAAAGAGGTTCTTGCTCCAGACCATCCTTCCTCTGAAGGGAATTTCTAGCATTCCACAGTCATACTAAACAAATCTTCAAATGCAAACACTTTGGTAAGTAAGTACTGGTAAATGAGACTATTAATGCATACCTAGCAAGCCAGACAAATTCAAACTCATATTTTCCCCCTATTTTAGTCTTACCCTCCTTACTTCCATGTTTTTGGAGTCTATTCCATTTTTCCCCTCTAACTGACGTGGATTAAAATCAGTAAAATGGATATTTTATTCTTTTTATTTCTACTGCTCTATTAAATACTCAGTAAGTGACAAAATTCTTTAAAAATAAATTATTTCTGCAGCATTTTTTGTCCCAGGGATCTCCCTCATATTATTCTTATTTTGCAACACTACAAGTACCCCAAAAAATTAACAGCTACAAGAATGTCAGATGACGACTATATAAGAACACTGATTTTACAACTCCTTTTTCAGTACAGAAATTTACTTTCTGCAGGATGATAAAAAAAAGGTGATATTAAAGACTAATATGAATAGAAAGAGTTTGATGGAAATTTTAATATTTATTTTGGTATTATAGCTATTATAATAAAAAGAAGACTAAACATAAGGTTAAAGTCCATTACAAAAGGCAAATCATAGGAATATTTTTCATACAAGACTACTTATTCTTTTGCTGAAAATAACTACAAAATTTATAGTCAGGAACTCACATGACGAGTTGCAAATTTTTTACTAAATTGAGGTCAGTTCTGTCAAGGAGAACTATGAATTTTGCAATTTCATCTATTGATTATAAAATTTTAAAAAACACATATATGCTTGAAGAATTTTTCAGAGAGAAAACTCTTATCACATTAGAGTTTCACTTTCTGTTCTTGTATTTTTGTTCTGATTTATTTATGCTGTTGCCATAAACTAAAGTGTGGGGCTCGAATAGTTAAGAAAACTTATTCCAGATCACTTTATTGATGAATGTTATGTATTACTATAGAAATTATTTATATAGTAATATCTATTTCTATAGTAATATCTATTACTATAGAAATCTACTACCACTATTAAATTATCTATTACTTCCCCATATGGATTTCTAACTGCAAATTACCTACTATTGTAAGAATAAGATGAAACCTACTATAGGTTAATAACAAACATGAGAATCTCTTTTACAAGGAAATCTATTTTTTATCTCATAGCTTAGATAAAGATTTTCAAAAGAAGCTTTCCAAAGAGGTAGTAGATCAAACCCCATTTCATGCAATAAAGCTGAGACCAAAGATTAAAGGTCTTTTTCTTTGGTTTCTGCTTTAAAAGAATGCCTAATCTGAACAATTTACTTTCAATAACAGAAAAGTGAAGCATCTGCAGTTTTCATATGTTTCTCAATTGTAGTACAGTACTTTCCTTCACAGCTGCA